TACAACTTCTGCCTTGTGAATTAGAGACTTTCTTATTTCAGTGCCTATTCTTATTTTTGCCTCCGATAAAGGTTTCATCAATTTCTACAACTCCATCCAGCATAGTCTTAAAGATAGGACTTTGAAAAGTATATCGTAATCTTTGTAATACGAACCAAGCACTTTTTTGAGTAATGCCAACATCTTTGGCTAATTGGTGAGAAGAAATGCCTTTCTTATTAATAGCAAGTTTATATAAAGCATAAAATCAAGTTCTTAAAGGTATCTTTGAATTTCTAAATATCGTTGTAGACTTAACATTGAAGTATTTTCCAGTATTTTTACAACGATATCGATTATTAGCACATTTGTAAACTTGGGAAGTGGGGTCAAAAGGAGAAGTTGGCATTTTTCCTTTTCAAATAACTTTTTCCAAATACTCAATACATTTTTGTTCGTTAGGACAAGTTTTTAAAAGACCGAATAAACTCTTGAAATGAAACATTACTATATAATAAATTATATAGTGTTTAATGATTAGGTTTTTAACAATCTAAGCAAGGGATTTAAGGTTGGTGTAAAATTGTATATTAATCCCTAATATTTTTATAAAGTTATAAAATTAATAACAATGCAAACAGAATTAAATTGCTTATTTTGCAAAATTATCAAAGGAGAAGAAAAAGCTTTCATTATTGCAGAAAACAAAGGAGCAACTGCCATTTTAGATAAATTTTCCGAAAGCGATGGTCATACTCTTCTTATTACTAAAAAACACTTTCCCTATATTGCTGAAGTTGACGAGGAAAGTTGAAAACATTTATTACCTTTAATGAAAGAAGTTATTAAAAAATTAAAGGCGGCTCTGCGGCCGGAAGGGTTTAACATCATTAGCAATATGAATGAGGATATCGAAAAAAAAATTGCTTATCAAAGCATCCCCCACCTCCACATTCATATTATTCCTAAATACAAAAAAGATGAAGGATTTATTTGAACTACCAAGCCTAAACTAAAATATAATTTAGAGCAAATAGCGGAAAAATTAAAATAGTCATGAATTACGTAAATTACAGGGAAGAAAATAAAGACCATTGAGGAAAATACCATCTTTACTATCTTATCTTTGGTAGTCTTGTTCTCACCACTTTAATAATATTAATTAGCAATTTCAGCCTTAACAGAAAAATTGATGCTTTGTTGGGTAAAGGACTTTTTGAGTTTAATTTTGAATCAAAAGTAGATGGTTATTCATCTCGTTTGAAAAGCGAACCATTTCCAGATTACGTTAAGGAAAGGATAAAAGGAGAAATTGAAAAAATCAAAAAAAACTTCCTTGGTGGTAGCACTAAAGAAAATAGAGAAGAATATGTAGAACAAGCAATGTCTTTTCCTTGATATCAAGTTAGTCCTGAAAATAGCAATTTAAAAGAAATAAAGCAAGCCCTAGACAAAAAACATTTTGGAATGGAAAAGGTAAAAAAGGCAATTATCAGATATTTAGCGGCTAAAAAACAGGCTGGAAAAAACCTTGGTAAAGTTATTTGTTTAGTTGGTCCAGCTGGAACAGGAAAGACAACTATTGCCGAATCTATTGCAGAAGCACTAGGCCGACCATTTGATCGGATTTCCCTAGGTGGTGTTCATGATGAAGGAGAAATCCGTGGTCATCGATCCACTTATGTCAGTGCTAAGCCGGGAATAATCGTCCGATCTTGCCAAAAAACAAAAGTAAAAAACCCGGTAATTAGTGTTGATGAAATTGACAAAATGGGTAAAAGCGAACAACACGGCGATCCTGCTGCGGCTTTTCTTGAAATCCTTGACCCCGAACAAAATGAAAAATTTAGCGATCACTACATCGAATTACCAGTTGATTTATCTCAAATATTGTTTATTTGTACTGCTAACCGAACAGATACTATCCCTGGACCCTTACGAGATCGAATGGAAATAATTGAAATACCTCCCTACACTAGAAATGATAAACAAGTGATCGTCAAAGAACATTTAATCCCTAAATTATTAAAAAGATACAACCTTACCAAAGAGCAATTAAATTTTGAGGATTCGGCAATTCAAGAAATTATTAATCATTATACTTGGGAACCTGGAATACGGGACTTGGAAAGAAAACTTACAGATATTATTTCTGGATTTAGTGAAAAAAAAATACAAGGAGAATTAAAAGATGAAAATATTACTTCGACAAAAGTTAAAGAGTATTTAGGCAAACCTAATGTTCCTGATTTAGACACCGAAGTTGATTATAATAAATTTGGAGTAGTGAAAGGATTGAGTGTCTATAATCCAGAAATAGGAGGAGGAAGTATTTTACCAATTCAAGCAGCTTATTCTTCAGGTGATGGAAAAGTTATCATTACAGGTAATTTAAAAGAAACTATGGAACAATCGGCTAATTTAGCACTTAATCATATCAAGTTTAATAGGGACAAGTTGGGCATTCCTGCCACTTTTGACTTTAAAACAAATGATATTTATATTCATGCACTCCAAGCCAGTATACCCAAAGATGGTCCTAGTGCTGGTATTACTTTCACCACCGCTATTATTTCAGCGATTACTAACAAGGTTGTTCCAAAAGGTATTGCAATGACCGGCGAAATTAGTTTACTTGGAGAAGTTTTAGAAATTGGGGGAGTAGTAGAAAAAATCAATGTTGCTCACCGTAGAGGATTAAAAAAAGTTTTTATTCCCCAAAAAAATCACGATAAAGATTATGATGATATTCCCGATGAAATTAAAAATGATAATAATTTTAAAATTTCCGGAGTAAAAAATTATCAAGAAATTTACGATGATTTATTTATTTAAATAAATTAAAGTTATACATTATCAAAAAACAATAATTGTGGAAAAAAATGATAAATACAGCAAACTATTGCTTGAAAGTGGATTATTTGCTTATGGTCCAACCAAAGGAAGTTTCATTTTACCACCCTCCGGCTACACTTTGTGAAAAAATATTCAAAATATCCTCGATAAAAAATTTGCTCAAAGGGGAGTTCAAAATGTTCTTTTACCAACTCTTATCCCCCTAGAATTATTAGAAAAAGAAAAAAAACACATTGCCGGATTCAGTCCGGAATGTTTTTGTGTTGAAAAAATTGGGGATAAAAAAATAGATAATTCGCTAGTCCTGCGCCCTACTAGTGAAGTAGTGTTTTATGATTGATATCGACAAATTCTTCGAAATTACCGACAATTACCACTTTTATACAATCAATGGTGTTCCGTCTTTCGAGCTGAGAAAAATACTACTCCTTTTTTTCGCAATACTGAATTTCTTTGACAAGAAGGTCATACCCTCCACAAAAACGAAGAAGAAGCCCGAAATTTTACTTTAAATATTTTGAGAGATTATGAAGATTATGCAAAAAATACTCTATGCCTAGGAGTAATAGTTGGCAAAAAGACCTAAGGAGAAAAATTTGCTGGAGCCTTAGAAACTTATACGGTAGAATGCTTACTACCTGACGGGCAATGCTTGCAATTTGCCACTAGTCATTATTTTGGAGATGACTTTTGCCGTTTAATGAATGTTGAATTTCAAACCAAAGACAACAAATTACAACATCCTTTTTCTACCTCTTGAGGAACTTCAACTCGTGCTATTGGAGCCATTGCTAAAACGCATGCCGATGAATGAGGAATAATTTTGCCTTTTGATATTGCTCCGGTTCAAATTGCCTTTATAATTATCGGAGAAAGCGAAGAATTATTTAATTATTATCAAGAAATATACAATTCACTAATTACCTATTACCGTTGCCAACTATACAATAAAACTTCTCGCGTTAATTTAAATGTTCTCCAAGCTGACCGAGAAGGTTGTCCGTTCAAAATAATATTAGGAAAAGAAGAATTAAAAAAAAATGAAATTACTTTGGTGAGAAGGGATAACGTGGAAAGAAAAATTACCATTAGTTTAGAAAGTAGTGAAATTGAAAAAAAATTGTTCACAATTTACCAAAAGAATATCGAGGAAATGAGCAAAGTTTATGATAAAAATGAAAAAGTTCAAAAAGCACTAGAAAATAATAAGGAAAAACAGTTTAACCATTTTAAAAAAGGAGAAAAGGTGGGGAAAATTGCCGGTGTCATTGGCAAAGAAATTGCCGAGTTTCAAAAAAATCTTTATCAAAAAAGTGCAAATTTTCGTGATGACCATATTTTCCCCCTCGATAGTTTTTCCGAATTAGAAGCAAAAATAAAAAAAGGAGTAGTGGGATTATTTTTAGTTCCTTTTTGTAACAATTTAGATTGTGAGATAAAAATTAAAGAAAAAGTGCCTTCTTATACCATTCGCTGTATTTCTTTAGTTAAAAAGCCTGAAGCAAGAGAAAAATGTATTTTTTGCTCCACGCCTGCTATTGATTATGTTTATCTAGGAAGGTCTTATTAACAAAATCATTTACAACTTTATCTTTTTATTTGCAAAAATTTAAACTTTAAATTAAAATTTTTTATAAAATGTTTTTATATAAAAAGTACTAAATAATTATATAAATATAAATTAACTATGGTGAAAACAATTGAAGAAATTAGGAAAGAAATAGAAAAAATAATCGAAGGAATAAGCATTAAGGAAATTCGGACAAAAGTATATAAAAAACGACGATGGTTTAGAGGCAGCACAAACGTTGATCCTGAAAATAATTATTGGAAAGATTTAGAAGACAAATTAGAAGATCCATCAACAAAAAAATTAATTAGGAGCATTAGAAACCTCGCCGAAGATGAGTTAGTGGAATATGATGAAAGAATAAATCAGATTTTAAATTTATTGGGTTATGAAGAACAATTTCCAGATTTTGAGGGCATAAATAATCCTGATGTTCACGCTCTTCCTGGCGAAGAAAAGATATATTGAACTGAACTAGAAAAAACGCTCAAAAAGTCCCGAAATGATGGTATGACATGAAGTTTGGCGGACATGGTTGATATTATTATTGAAGTAAAGAAACATCTAGGAATTTCTGATGACGAATTAAATGAATTAACTGCTAGTGCTGATTTAGCCATGCCTACCAAACAAGTGGAGGGGATTAACACTAGTTTAACCCTTAAAGAAACAATTAAAATTTGCAATACCCTTTTACCCCATCTAACACCCAGCAGAATTCTCGACAAGTTAATTGACGAAGCAAACCGTTACCAAGCCTTGAATGTTGCTACTAATGATATTATTCGCGAGAAAGGTGAAATTGACAAAGGTAAATTAGAAAAATTGAAAAATAGTCAAGAAAAACACACAGATTACGAGGCTATTAAGAATGAATTAGAAAGGTGAAGAAAACTTGGTCAAACACCAGAGAAAATTGCGAAGGACATAAAAGACTTGCAATCTAGACCAGCAACCGGAGGTTCAGGCACAGGGACATCTTCTCCAGTTGATAAGCAAAAAATTGCTGACTTAATAAAAGTAATAGAAAAACAGAACCAAGCAATTAGAAAATACGGTGATGCACAGGATAATTTTACAGGAGATTATAGTTGAAAAGCTGAGATCATAGATGTTTCAAAGTTAAAAAATTAGATACACAAATATTTAATATACCTATGACATACAGCAAATTGTCGATATCGCAAAATTAAATAACAAATATGACTATTGCGCAAGACTACCTAGATGGAAATAAAGCGGACGGAAGCAAAAGATTTGATAAAGCAACAATAACAAAAATAGAAATTCGTGAGAAAGGAATAGGTGAAACTGAAAACGATGAAGACATACTAATAGATAAATTAACAGGCAAATTAAAAGTTAAAAATTTTTTAAATTTGGCAGAAATTATTCTAGAAGGTCACGAAATAGAAGAAGCAATTTTTATTAATTGCCCGCTATTAGAAAAAATTAATGTTGCAAGAAACAAAATTACTAAACTAGATTTTACTAAATTAAAAACAAGTGATAGCACAGAAACCGGCAATTCGGTTCCGGGAGACGCATTGAAAAACTTAGCAATAGACAACAATCCTGACCTTGAAGAAGTTTCATTAGAATATTGTCCTAACTTAGGAACTTTTAATGCTAGGGGAAATACTAAACTCAAAAAGGTTTGAAAATTAGATCATTTAAAGAAACTTCATACAGTTTTAGTTGCTGAAGGCTTAGTTGATCATATTAATGGAGAAAAATTAAAACACTATAAAGAAATCAAAAAGGTTATTAGAGAAATCTTAGGTGTGGGAGATGCGGATCCTGTAGATGTAACTACTTTAAAGGTTAAAATAGAGAGTAAAATATTAAAATTCGTAAAATCTGAATTAGGTCTAGGAACTAGTGCTACTCAGTCGCAAATTATTGCTAAAATAAGAGAATTGGTGGGTCCTGGTTATATTTCTAAAGTATCTTTGGTATCGGATGCTGAGGATAGTTTAAAAGGTTTAGGAGTTGCTGAAGGAGAAATCAGTAAATTAGGTGCTGCGGCTAGTGCCCGAGATGTAGAACTTTCTAGAAACAAATTAGTTAATGATAAATTTAATGAGCTACAAACTAAATTAAACCATGCTCATTACATAAATATTGGATTAGGAACTCTATCAGTAGGAGTTTTACTAATCTTAACTTGAATGATTCTCAAGGACCGAAAATTATTACCTGGTCAAGAGGAGGAAGAGGTTAAGGAATAAGATTAATTTACTTTCTCTTTAAGTTCAAAAGTAATATACTTTTATATATTTTACAAAGTCAGAATTAAATGTCAGTAATTAAAACTAAAATTCTTTCAATAACTAGGATTTAGAAGAAATCAGTTTGACAAAAATTATTAACATTGTAACAGATTATTATTAAAATAATTTCATAGACATCGTATTAAAAAATTTTAGGTAATAAATAAGAAATTATGGACAGAAAGAAAGCATTTGAGATTTTGGGATTAACAGAAACTGCTTCTGAAAAAGAAATCTATGATAAATATCGCCAGTTAGCTAAAAAATTGCACCCAGATAAAAATAAAGGTTCTTCTGATGCTACCAAAAAGTTTCAAGAGTTGAGCGAAGCTTATGAGTATTTATCATCACCAAAGGTGCCAGAGGAACCAGATTTGTTTTCATGTTATATGTGTCCCCCAAAAACGTGAGGATGACGGAAGGTGATTAGAAGGAGAAAATAAAAGAATGTTTTGTTCCGAAAAATGTCTTAAAGAATATCAAAAACTGCAAAACGGAGGATACCTTCATAAAACTTGCAAAGGTTGTGGTGGTTTCCATGACAATGGCACCCAAATAAAATGTAAGATAATATTAGAAGTTTTTGATGAATTAAAATATACAGAGGGTTGAAATTTACTCTCTAAGGATGAAAGAAAAGATTATAAAGGGAAAATTAAGGGTCTTATAAATACAGGCATGCTTGAAGACTTTAAGCAATTAGTTAATAGATTGTTAAAAGAGGCTAGAAAAGCATGCGAAGAAAAGAAAAACCAAATTCAGCAAGAAAGAAAGCAATGTGCCGAGAAATTAAAAAGTTTGCAAGGTTGAAGTTTACTTAGTGAAGAAATACAAAAGGATATTATTGAGGAACTAGAAAGGCTCAATTCAAGCGATCAGTTTAACAATAAAATAAAACAAACAGAGAAGTTTATAAAAGAAAATTATGATATTCCCGATGATGACGAACTGAATGAACTAATCAGCGAAACTAAAAAAGAGGAAAATTGGAATAATTTCCCAAACTTAAAAAATCTTCTTACCCAAATTAAATCTTTACAAACTTCTGATTCTTATAATGAGCATAAGGCAGAAATCCGTGCTATTGAAGCAAGATTAAAAGAATTAAATCCGGAGAATTTCAAAAATTCAATTGAGAAAGAGTTAGAGGAAAAATTAAAAAGCAATGGGTTGAGCAAAAAAGACCTTAGTCCGGAAAATCAAGAAAAATTCCAAGTGGCAGTAGCAAGTAACGATATAGAAAAAAAGCAAGAAATTGAAGAAATCATTATTGAAGTAGGAGTTAAAAAAGAATTAAATGAAACAGTAACTTGTATTAAAAAAGCAATCACCGGTCAAAGTAATTTAACTAGAACTCAGAAAGAAGAATTACTTAATAAATTAGAAAAATTTATTTTTGGGAATGCTTACCAAAAGAAAATTTATCAACAACAAAAGAGAAAAATAGACAATTTAATAATCGAACTACGAAAAGAAATAACAAATGAACAAGAAAAGTCAGAATTTGCTTGACTAAAAAAGATTGGGATTGCCGCAGTAATTAGTCTGGGCATCACTATTCTATTTTCTGTTGCTATGAGAATTAATGCTCATCGCAAAAGAAGAAACCCTCAATAAACCGTG